TTACAAGGAATTCGCTTACAACTTCAGGTCTGGAGATTCCCAGGTAGGATAGTTAAAGATTTTTTAGTGGGTAGGTTTGCCTTCTAACTGGATTAGTCTTGATTTTCATTGCATCAGGAATCTGCTAACCTGGCTCTTAAGTGCATCCTACGTGCTCTTTCCAAATGATGCTGTGTGATCTAATTGTCTAGAAATCATGAATTTAAACAAATTGCGATTAAATTTATGTTTCCCAGTTATATTCTTATACTTTTTTGATTCCTTTAAAACTTATAATTCTCAGACATACAACGGAGAGAAGGTTAGAAGAGAGAAGGTTAAAACAACCTTACAAAAAGGGTGTCACTTAAGACATAATCACTGAATGAGCGGTCAACCGCACGCTGATCAGAGGTAACCTTGGGTTGGTTATAATCAGCAAAAAGATAATCGATATCGTAAACATACATATAAGTTAAAGAGTAAAAATGTTATCGTGGCTAAAATACAAAAAACTAAATAAACTCAGTATGTAAAATTTTAAATTTTCCACTGAAAATATTATATATATATATANAATTATTTTTCATTCGCTATGTCAGATAAATTCATAAGTCAGCAAAATTCAGCTAGGAGAAACGTTAAAAATCGACATCTTATTATTGATCTCAATAAGAATTAATTTTGGTAATAATTACTAAGTAGTACAAAACGGCAAAATTAAAGGAGTAAAGGTTTGTATTTGTTTTGAGGAAACGTTAAAAATCGTCAGACTATTATTGACAGCAATTATGCTTAATTAATTTTGATAATATGTATTTATTTATAACTGTCGACCCAATTTTGGGCTTACGACTACGAATGTTCAACTCCGTAGACTTGTAATTTTGAACCCAATCCAAAAGACAAGGTAACTTCTGTATCAAGTATAGGAGGAAATTCGCCTCTTTGTTGGTACTAACATGCATTTGCGTTATATGGGGAGGAAAACCACGAAAACCTTCTACGGTATGAAAGAAAAGGGGACGCTAACTCATAATTCGTCTACCGCTGAGGATATTTTACGTCAGTGCTGTGGTCAATGCTAGCCGCTCAGGTAATATGTATAAACAGCTCTGATAATATGTATTAATTGAAATAAAAAATAGCCTATCTACTAAAAAGTAAAGTTAATGGAGAAAAGATGCTAATTCGTTTTTGATATTATAATTCATCCTATTATTATTAATACCAAAGCTTAATTACGATTGGTTTCATCCATTAATTGAAATAAAAAGAAATAGTTACGTGCTAAAAAGTAAAGCGAATGGAGAAAAGGTTAATGGGAAATTTGTTTAGGAGAATCGTAGAAAATCGCCATACTCAGAAGATGCTTAATTAATTTTGGTAATATGTACTACTGGTATAATAAAGGCAGTTTTAATAAGAATTCTGCATAGGGTCTTATGCAATTTCAGAAAATATTTTTCCTGTGGTAGAAAAGAATTAGAGTGTATTAATATTTTAATGAATTATAATTAAAAGAATTTTTTTCCACCACTACTTATGAATGTTTTAAACAGTTAACTAAAGGTTAGTGAAATTGTGGAAATAAGTGTCCTTGAAAGGGATCGGAGAAAATTACTTGATAATTGCAAATTTTGACTACCGTGAGTTGACCGCGAACAATATCATCGCGGCAAGTGATGCGAAATGCAGTTAATCTCTATTTTTAAGGGATCATTTACAAAAAACGCGTCTGCTTGTTGTAAATCCTTCAGAAAAAGCAACAAATAATGATAAATAAATATATAAATTAAATTATTTTAACTTAATTTATTGAGCTTAGTGGAAAAACAGGTAAGTGATATTTTCAGAAAAACTATAATCCGGGTAAGAAAAAAAAGTGATCTTCTAACTATTTTATTACCAATCTTAGAAGGCGGGATTAATAATTCTTTGTCTTAATTTATTGGCCACTGCCTAATTTAAAAATAAAAATAATTTAAGCATACTAAAAGCTAATATGAATTAGCCATGTTAAGATTAAAGTAAAAGCAAATAGAAAACGTACAAGGATTTCATTTCTGCAACGTGATATACAGCAACAGGAGAAGCCAAAAAAATGCTTCTTCGCTGGCAACAAAAAATACTAATTTCGCTTCAGACAGAGTCTTAAAAATTTCGATTCTTAAAAATGTACTGAACTATGAGGAAAAACCTATGACGCAACCCGCAACCTAACAAATCCAAAAAAATAGTTTCAAAATTACGCATGACGATGAAATGACCTTACCGACTTAATGACTAGTCAATGAATATCACTGTCAACTAGACGGCATTTTGTCGAAGAAATGACCCTGTAGACGAACTGATTTTTCGTCGAAGCGACCCTATCGACCAAATGGCCCTGTCAACGAAACGAGCCTGTCGACGAAATGACGTAGTCGAAGAAGTGGTGTCGATGAAGTGATTTTCGCCGAAATGAATGCGACCCGTTTTCAATTATAGCTTCGCTTTAAGCAACTTATTCAACAACTTTATTCATTCTTAAATTCTGAAAAATAATACTTTTTTTTTTATTGTGAATACTCTGAATTTTGCACTATTTAGAGCAAACAAATTTCAAAGCAAAAAATTATACGATGTACTCTCGATATCTCAAAGTTGAAGTGAAGCTAAGAAAAAATTCGAAATAGCGTGTTTTCTAGATAACAAGTTCAGAACTAAATGTGTTCCAAAAAAGCAGAATTAAAGATTCAAAAATATGACTCTAAAAAGTAGAGTTATGAAACGTAAGTATCACTACTAATATATATGCGTGTAACGATAGCTGACTATAAGTCTAAACACAACAATAATTTTATTTTTAAAAGCAAGAGAAAAATAATTATGCATTAAATCGAAAAGAATTAGTTTACAACAAGATTACATTGTGATTTTCCTGAAAAAAATTCCTTTTCTATTTCGTAAAATTCGACATAAGGTTTTGAGAAGAAACTCTTCGATCAAGGCATATTAAATTAACATTAGGTAGATATGTAATACCAAAAAGGAAAAATATTTTTTTCGAAATAAGAAGGTTTTAAAGATATCGAGAGCATACTGTATATACAAAGACTCCAAATATTTGAGGCTCTTGGGAATGTATCTGATCAAATTAATTGTGCTTAGTGACGGACACAATTCTTTGAATTCAAATTTATTAAAATTATAAGAACATTTACCTCTGTTACAACAAAGGAAGATATGATATTTTCTGAAACTAAGGAGCCTCTGTATATAAAATATGGCATAAAAATAGAATGGTTTAAAACCATTTTTAGGCTCATTCTTATTGGACAGAAAAATCACATGATGGGTGTTTGTAATTAACATTGAAGAAACGGGCTTATCTAACTATCATCATTATTAAATTAATAAAAGTTATAATGTATTTCTGTAAATTATATTTCTCTCATTTAACGGTAGTTTCACAGTGTTCGATTTTGATTCAAAATATAAAAAATATAAATGCTTTTAAAGTTATTTTTTACTATTTTTAACTATCATACCAAACTTATTTCGTCATTTCAGTTATTTTTGTTGATTTTTTATTATAATCGAAAAAACAAATCGTGACACAAAATGAAAGGCTTCAAGCTAAAATGTGGTGTTTATTATATTATAGTATAGTATAAAGTAATTCCGTATTACTTTATTACACAACTCTTTATGATAAACACATCGTTTTACAATCATTAAATGGTAAGTAAGTTACATTCAGTTTTTGATGTATATTCTATGCAAACCTCTCTGTACAGTCAACATATAAAATTGAAAATAATTATTACAAAATGATTTTTCAGCATTGTATACTTAATCTTTCTCATTATTGCTCAATAATACTAAAAACATCTTTTTTGTATCAGACGAAAATTAAATGGAAATTAAAAAAAAAAGCTGTGGTTGAAATGGTAAACGATCAAAGTGAATAGGATCGAGAAATAAATTCGTAGAGTGAGAAAAACGCTGTTTCTGGCTCTATGGGAACATCTAAAAAGCTCGATCATTTTTACCGAAGAGCTTTGGTAAGGATTTTTGTAAAATGAACAATAAAATATGGTTTTCATAATGAGTAATAACATTGTTAATTTTATCACGATACCTTAAAGCATAGCATAGAAACCAGCTATTCGGTTAAATTTATTTTTTGGCTTTGTATTTTTTCACTAAATATGCGGTAATAAAAACTACCAATTGAATAGTTTAAATTCTGTTTATTTTAATTTTATTATGTCCCCCCCCCCAGAAATGTCATTGTTATACAGAACAGTGATTATCCTCTGTATAGAACCAAATATGTGTTAAAGGCATTTTAGGATATTTAAATTCATAGGCTTTCAACCTATTTAGCATCAGAGCCACTAAAACTTCGAACAGAAACGTAAAAAACATTTTTTAACTTTCCAAAATTTAATATATGTTACATTTTTAACTTTTAAACTCTTAAATATTAAACTTCATATTTTATGAAAATCTGTAAAAAAATGATGTGGTTCTTCCATGTAATTTTGTCAACCTGCAATTCGTCAGTGTTTCTTCTTGCATTAAGCAAAACATATTTAAAAATCGATTCAGATAATTATATTTTATGAAATCTGAAGTTTAGGGGGGAAATGCTTAGGAAACTGAAATAACTTTAATTTCTTGAAAAATTATATCCGGCGAATAATTTTCTGTGAATTACTTTCTTGCAAATTTTGTTTTCATTTTTCAAAGAAAGTGACAATGTATAGGTTTGCTTTTATTTATTTATTTAATTTCGTCAGCTTTGCGCACGAACCTGATTAGAACGGTGGAACTTGGAAGAAGATTAAAAAATGAGCAAACAGTTTATAATTTCCGATAAAAAATTTACCTTCCTATGGAAAACAAAGGATTTTTTTAATGCCAGTAGAGAAATGTATTCAAGAACAATGATATTTCGGTTACATCTGAATTGCGCGATATCAGCATTTCACAGATAACAACAGAAAAAAATATTTGCTGATTAGATAGAGAGTCAGTAACAGGCAACACCGTCTCTTTCATTTCGAATGGGATATTATTTTGTATTAACATCTAAAATATTTTGTTTGGTTAGCCTGATTTAAAAAGAACAACCAAAAGGTTTAAACCTAACCTTGGCTATAGTTAAGTAAAACTGATATAAAGTGCGACAATCGAATTAAGGTGTTACTCAACTTTAGAAGATGGCTAATTCTAAACAGATTCCTATCTGAAATAAGGTGTTACTAAGCTATAGAAGATTGCCTGCAGAATTAAGGAGTCACTCAACCTTGGGAAATCGCTTGCTGTCATTAGAGGTGCTACCCGACAATTGTAAACTAAGGTGCCCAAATTTCGCGAAATAGAAACTATGTGCCATACATGAGATGTAAAAATGTATTCTAGTTTCAAAATGATTCCTACAATTTATCCTCCAAAACTGGTGCACGTTGTAACAAAAGACAATCAATGTGGTTTCGGGAAATGGAGGCCAAAATGGCTGCAAATCTTTGCTGATCCCAAATGTTATTTCTTAGTATTTTCAGCCTTGAGTATCATTCAGGGCACTTATTTTACGTATTTCGTTGGCATCATGTCAACATTAGAAAAGCGTTTCTCGTTTGGAAGTGGAATGTCAGGATACATACTGATAGCCGGTACTCTGAGCCCGATTCTGATTGGCATTTTAATTGGCTACTTTGGGGGACGATTCCACAAACCGAAATTGGTCTCAGCTAGCTTGTTGTTCGCCGCTGTTGGGTGCTTCCTGAGTGGAACACCCTACCTCATTTACGGACCCGGACTGCATATTCTCCGCAAACCAATGGGTTCCTCCTCGGATAAAAGAGAATTTTGTGATTCTGACAACCAGATCGATGTTTGTGAGAAGGCGTTTTCACAACCGGTGACTGACTTGTTTTTCTTGGCTAATTTCCTGACTGGATTCGGATACACTGCTTTCTACATCATTGGGATGCCATATCTGGATGATAACATTAAAAAGAAAAATTCTCCTTTGTATTTTAGTAAGTGGAATTAAACAACTACTACGGAATTTCAGTAGTTTCAAAAATTATTTTATTAGTGGTAGAAGAGGTAATATATTAATATTTTATTAAACTAGAATTAAAAGAATACTATCCATCACTACTTATCAATTATTTAATTTGTTTTATAATTTCTGCTTTAGTTCACAACCTCCGTAAAAAACAATTTCCTCTGAAACTTTAAATATTGGAGGGTATGTAATTTTATCAAACTTCAAACTTGGTAAAATGTTTCAAACAAAAACAAGATTTCAAGATATTGGATTAGAGTTAACTGCTTTAAAATTAAGTTGTCATTAAAAATACATTATTAATTTTGTGAATACCTTTCATTCGTATTTAGAGAAAGGCAAAAGATAATTTTTTAATAGATTTCTATAATAGATTTTCGTATTTCTATAATATATTCTTAGATTTTTATAATAGATTCTTGGAAAATATCTGAAGGATTGAAGCCGTGAAAAAAAATCAGCTTACAATTTATTCAGCCAAAATCCGACCAAATTCTCCCTAAAAGGTTGAGAGGCTTTCATTGGACACGACGCGTTTCAATGTGGAGAAATATTGCGAAAATCACTAAAAAGTCTATTTCGACATTTTAAATTAACAAAAACTAATTTAATTTTGCGATCATGGGCTAAAATACTTTCTTGCACATGCTATCTAAATTTGAGGATCTGCTGCTGTAAAATTTTTTTAATTAGACGTCGATTTTTTTTAATATATATTATTAAAATCTTATAATGTATAGTAGTTTATTAACTAAGGTACTGTAAAGGATATGTCCGAATTGTGACGTCATGCAGTCCATTCAAAAAATACACTTTGCGTATGTTGACAGCCCTTTTTCACTAATCCTTCCGCTTCTGGGTAATATTAGTGACATTCTCCCGCTCAAGGTAATAGATATTGTAGATAGGTAATTTATATTGGATAGGTAATTAGATAATTAATATTGGATAGGTAATTAGGTAATTTATATTGGATGCTTCTGCTTTCTAATTATTTTTATTCTAAATTATTTTTTCAATTTAAACAAAAATATCCATTGCGAGATTTAAGTTTCCTGTACAAAAAAAAAAAANAAAAAATCAAAAAAAAAAAAAAAAAAAATAGAAACAAAAGTTACTTTTCGTTAAAAATTTTTTTAGAAATAAAAGTTATTAGTTATTAGAAATAAAAAATTTTTTTCCTTAATTTTTCCATACAAAAACATTTACCTCATATTTACTTTTTCATAGGAATATGTATTCATGCATGAAGGTAGTAATGCAAAAAGTGAGAACGTTATTAACTCCAATAAATTATGGATAAAATTATTTATAGAATATCGTTGGCAGATTTTCCCGAACACTTAAAATAGTAGTAAATTTTAAAATTCTATTTTTAATTTGTAAATTTGACTTACAATGATTGGCCACCATCAAAAATAAGCAATTAAAAAAATAACTGATCTCTGATAATAGTTCCGTGAAGTACTGGTGAAATTAAAGTAAGCTTACCATAATTGTTATTTCACTACCGCTTTAAATAATGTAGATATCTTCTGGGTTAGTATCTTTACATATATTTAACACAAATGCATTTTTTAGCATATTTACATACTTTCGAATTATTTAAGCAAATCAAAAAAATATTCTGCTTTTTCCTCCAAAAATTAAATACCGTAGCATTTTGTTAATCACAAATTGCGCAGCTTCACTATCAAGTTCAAGTTATTCATAAAATTTTTTTAGGATTAATTCAGTTACTAGTAAACTTTTGATGCACAGCATAAATTGCTCATTTTAATGCCACCAAAATAAATAAAAAATATTAAGAAGAAAAAAACACTTGGAATTATGTACCAATAATAATTAATACCAATAAAATATTTTTATGTAAGTTTCAGTTTATTAACATTTGTGATAAAAATCCGGAGCTATTGTTTTTTCTAATTCGTAAACTCTTTAATGATAAATTAAAGACCGTTCTTGTGTTAATTAAAGTGTTGACTAATACTTGTGGCTTGCTGTAGTTCAATTTCGTATACTGTTGGCAACCATGAGGCCCATTTGTTAACAGTCTCTTAAGATACATAAAATTCAAAATATTATTTCACAAATTAGTATAGAGTGTAATAGTGCTTCTCTTTCATATAAAATAATTTATTTTCTTCCTTATGAACTTGTGTATATGATTTTGCAAAAAAAAGAAAAATTTGATTCCAACCAGAATGATAGGAATGTAAAAAATAAATACATTCGCCAAAGACAAACAATTATCATTGAATGATGAACGCATTATTGTTGATTGGATAAAAATGTCTTAAATTATTATTATTTAATAAAAATTGATTGCAATGATAAATTTGCAATTTCATGTAATGATAAATTAAATCGTAAAACAAAAACTTGATTTAATGACACAATAAAACACGATTTATTTTTTTGTGTTAAATTTAATTTAATTCTAATTATAAAAGAATTTTAATTTTAATGAAGAATTTTAATGGTTTTAGAAATAGACTATTTTAATGATCATTTCATTTTACTGATAACGATCGACCAATTTTTTTTATTTAGCAATAAATAAACTTTTTTTTTAATGTCAAATTTTTTTTTTTTTTGGTATGGAATGTAACATAGTGTTTGAGATAAATTATAATTAACTTTTAATGATCAAAAAAATTTTATTTTTAATGATAAAATATAAAATGCTTTCAGGCATACTATATCATTTAACTGAATAATAAATAATTTTTTGTTTTGTTTTAACAATAAAGAATGAATTTTTTCAGAAGTAGAATATAACTTAATTAAATGACGTAATACTTTTTTTTCATGTCACTGATGGAAGATACTATTTTTAAGATACATAATTAATTTTTAATAGTAAAATGTAATTTTATGATTCAAAAAATACATAATTTGTGTATTCTGTTTACATAAAAAAGGTAATTTTCATTTAAGGTGCAATGGCTGCTCTCAGGATATTCGGACCCACTTTAGGATTTCTTTTGTCCTCCTTTTGTCTCAAATTCTACGAAGATCCATTTTGTAAGTATATTTCATACACGTGTTTCAATTAGTCTTCCTCAAATCTCTCATAAAATAAAATACAAAAATTAAATGATGAGGATTATGCACTGTAAAATATTTGCGTGTATCTTAACGCAAAAAATGGTGGCAACTACTTTACACCAAAATGACGTTCCATTACACGAAGAATGTTCTTTTACAGTACTTGACGACGCATTTTTCTTATTTGAGTAACATTGAAATCTATAATTACAGTTTGATAAGATGCACATAAGAGTCAATTACGATACAATATAAAGTAAGAATCTTCAATTTAGGATGCATATACACAGTAACTCTTAAAATAAAATTAGTTTCTTGTAGCATAGGGAGAGAATATAAAGACGAAGTCGAAATGGAAGTGGATAGAAATTATTCATTACAAAATCTCTTATTACAGTTCTCAAGAGATTTAAGAAATAAAATATTCAAGAGTTTTACAAAATTATTTAAACACTTTTACACCAACTCTTTGTAAGCAATCTTTCTCCCTGCAGCAAACGTTTTAGAAAATTTTATATGACAAATCTGTTGGTATAATTTAAAAGATCATGCTAGATGCTTTTTGAAATGTCATTTCCATCGCCACGAAATTTGGTTCGGTTCGACCAAAATGAGGAAGGGAAGTTAATTTCCTTTTAGCTTTAATACCAGCAACAGTGAAAGCATTCAATGGGATTGTAATATTTACATTAGAATGTTGTTTTTTTAATTATAGCAGGTGATAAAAAAGAAAGGAAGCTCTAAATTTCAAACACTCATTTTAGTCGTCTGGTTAAAAAGACACCATTTCTAAAAGTTTCAAACACGAACTTTAAAATTGTGTCAACAACTATGAAAAGAAAAATCTTCCAAAACATTTGCAGGTAAAAAGATTGATTGACATAGAAGGTAGTATGGAAATGTTTACATAATTTTGTCTAATTCTCATGACACAACTAAAAACATTTAAGCGGGAAACTTTTGTTTTGGTTGATCGCGTAGAAGATTTCTTCTAACTCCCTCCAACTCATTCTTGAATGTAAACGATTTCTGGCAACATTCAAAGTTCACCAATATTGGTGTTTTCGAAAGTGGGAGTAATTTTTGCTTGGCGTAAATGAGTTTGGTGTAAACTTATTCCCTTTTGAGTGTTTAGATTTAAACTACTCCCTTAAAATTGTATGTGAAAGCTCAATTAGGTGCTAACCTAAAATAAAATGCTTTTTCACGCAATTTTTTGGGTTGAGCAACATCATATCATATTATTCCACAGTTTTTACAGTGCGTAGTTTACAGCATTTATTGACACTGTAAGATTTTCTGTAATTCTTTACCATTACAGTGAGCTAAAGAATACTGCCCAGAATAACTTTCGTTTTAATGATCAGTTTTCACTTAATTTTAGTTCTTAAGTACCTCTCTTGTTGGTTTAAAGGGTTGACTTCAAGTATACTAATTGTACTACTAGTGTACTACTAGTAGTACAAGTAGTCAAGTATACTACTAGTGAAAACTATTATTGGTTCGATGTAACAAAAAAAAAATCCCAATAGTTTCTTTTCAAACTCTTTTTATTCTTAAATAATAAAAAACATATTTTTTTAAAAATAAGCTTATTCCTTTTCTAACGTTGTTGTCATTCACGAAGCAACTTAAGATACAAAATGAAAGTGGCGCTTTTAATCAAATCACAAGCACAGCGCAGATGATGTGTTTCATCACGCGAAACAATCTCCCACTTTTTGATAAATGACAATGCACCAAAATAATATTATAAGTCTACAAAATTTACACTACAGTTGCTTATAGTTCATGAAGGCGTTTTGATCCTTTCGAGTGACTTTTCCAGTAAGCTTCCCTTTTCGTTTAAATTACAAGCTTAAATTTCTAAACTGTCGATACGTTGGACGAAATAATTTTCTATAAGCGGTTTTTACACGCACAAACCTATAAATTCGATCGTTGGAGTAAATATGAATGACATGCCAAAATACTCGTTTTTGATTGACATTTTAAATAAAAAGATTAATATTCATGGATTGCTTCGAGAGTTTCAAAGATCTCTTGAGCAGTAGTTGTGAAAGTTGTCTACAATTTTATCTCGTTATTGAAAAACAATTCTTCTTATGGAATTCATTTGATCTATATGATCCTGATCAGGAACTTCCAGAATAGGTTACACGAAAATTTCTTGAATAAAAGGCTGCAAATCCTCTGTATTTTCTGATACGCATACTATAGGCCCTGTATACGTATACAATGAGCTCAAAACCAAAATTGACATTTCTTCATGAGTCAAGCTTGCTCTACTTAATACATATCGCAGTACTCCTGATAATTTTCAGTCATTCTAGGTGAAAAAGTTATTTGAACTAAAAAAATTACTTCCACTATCGCTGGGAATGGTCGTCCCCGACGGTCTATAAACCGCTTTAGTTGATAAAGACCGTACAAGTTTTAAATGAACAGCTCTAAAGACTGTATAAAGAGAACAATTCAGATCTTGGCTCCTCCCTTCAGAACAAGTGAACCAGCAAGATCAATCATTTCAAACACTGATGCGTCCCTGATTCTGTCTTCTGGCAATGCAACAGGAATTCTCTTAATAGCCTTAACGGTATGTCTTCGGCATCTGACACAATTATTAATTATTTTTCTCACAGTTTTTCTCGAATTTATAATCCAGAAATTCCCTTTAAATCCATCAATAGAGTATTCAATCCACAATGCGGTGATTCTAAATGCCATTCTTCGATGTCTGCAAATTTATGTTTACTGGGCAATAGTATTGAAAAGGATTGTATAGTGTTTAAAAAATGTCCCAAAAGCTAATTAATCAAGTTAATGTATAATTAGTTTTCACAGAAGTAACGTAGGGCGCAGAGGTGGGTGGGTGTTGCGTTAACTTGGACAAGAAAGAAGTCTTAAAAGTATTTTATTTATTTTCTCTAAACAAGAACAACAAACGAGAGGGAACAGCATGAGCCGCATTTATTTCTCTGAAACAGCGGTATCGGAGATGGTTTCTTCTTTCTAATTATCGAGCAAATAGGTTAAAATTCTGCTGTAATATTTTGCAAATTCAACAGTGATATTGTGAAAATGTCTCAATGACATTTTGAAAATTTTATAGCAATGTTTCAAAATTAAGTCATGTTAATAAAAATCACTATTTTTTTAGATGATCCAGGAATCGATTCTCGCAATCCGAGATGGGTGGGTGCGTGGTGGATGGGATTTTTCATTCTTGGAATCGCCCTGCTTTTCTTCACTTTCCTTCTGGCTCTCTTTCCGAGAGAACTGCCCGCTCGTTTTCGATCTGAAAAGAAAAATGTCAAGAAAGAAGATTCCAAAGAGGCAGACATGCCCAAACTGAAAGGTAATTATTACATCATAACTGTCAAACTGATATATTTACATAATTTGAAATGAAAATTCATAAAAAAAAAATAAATTCCGTTTTTAAAGAGGAATTGAAGAAATTAGTTTTATTTTGGGTTGACCTAAACTGAAAAACGCTGGGCTCATTTTCATAATATTACCCATAAAAATTCCCCTCAGGTCTGTGGAATGTGAAGTGCTCTACATTTTTTAGCGGTGCATTTTTAAGAAAAATCAAAGTATCAATCTCCTTTTATTCTGCTTGCAAAACGCAATTTTTCAAATTTTTTTTAATTATTTTTCTTTTTAATTTTATAGCTTTTACTATGTTTCACTTGGAAAGTGGTCTAAATTTTGATTAGTGATTAGTTATGTTGATACCATTTAAGAAACTGTAATCTATATTGAAATCAGGCACAAAATTGAGATGAAAATCTTGATTGGTGATAAATTATGTTTCTCCGTAATCAAAATTATAGAATTAATTTAGTTAAAAGTAATTAACCACATGGGTCCAATGGTTAAAGTACTGAGTTTCGATCCCCGGTGTCACATAACTTCATAACTTTCTGGAATGATGATATCTGTTGATTAATGATTAATGCTGATCACATTGCTACCAACACACTATTGGTCACTTACTCACCATGACCTTCATAGCTCATTACAGGCTGTTGAGGGATTACTTTTCTTTAAAAGCTCTATTTGGTGTGACATAAATGAATCACATTACTTGCCTTATTACACAAAGCTAGAGTTCCTCACTGCCTGAAAAAAAAATCCTTTACAAGAATCTTATGATAAAAATGAAGGCAACCGACCTGATTAATTTTTTAGAAGAATGCGAGGAAATGTGCAATGATTATAATGAAGAGACAATAGTGAGCCCCAGAAACTACCAAACTTGGCCAATTTGCCCTGGAAACTTTATAATCACTAACTAAAAAAAATCTATATAAATTTTTTTATGTTTGCTGTTTTTTTTATCTGTCTAGTCTTCCAACCTTAACCAGTAACCGATAAATGCTTCCTTCGGGAAGTGGTCCGAATTTTAATTTCAATAAGTTAATAAAAACATGGTAAAATAATATGAATCATTAAAGATAATACGAATCAAATAAAGATAATATGAATTAAATAATATGAATCATTATACGAATCATTAAAGTGCCAGACTATATAAAATAAATTAATATTAAATTGTATGAAATGTGTAAATTAGAGATCTAAGTGACACTCCCCCAGATGTCTTGAGAGCATGTGCTTTGGAAACCATTGATTTGAGGTAACCAGAATCGGAGTGGCTACATGTCTTTACAGATGGTTCCTACTCTGATACTCAGTTGTCAGTCGGTGCAGGTGTACATTCAAAGTTGTTCAATTTTTATGCTTCTGCAGGGGACTACAGAACAGCATTTGACGGAGAGGTTGAGGCAATTCGGATTGCCTCAAAACAACTAGTGGCTCTTCATGATGTCTTTGACAGAGTGGTCCTTTTCTCTGATTCACAGGCTGCAATCCAGGCCATAAATTCAATCTCTCCCTCATCTTGTGAAATTCTCCCTATCCAGGAATTCGTAGAAATTTTAACATCACGAAAGAAACGTGCTGTGCTCCAGTGGGTACCTGGGCACTGTGGCATCTATGGAAACGAGCAGGCGGATTTCTTCGCAAAGAGGGGCGCTGGGCTTCTCCAGCTAAAAAAAAATACAGAGATCTCTTACCACAGTATAAAGCTACATCTAAAACAAGTTTTTAAAAGAACTCTTGCTTCCAAATTACAAGATAGAATAAAAGCCAAGCGGTGGAAAGATGACCTCCTAAATATCCCTAATGGTCCACGCCGTGAAGTTGTGGCACAGTTTCGACTCCTAAAGGGCCACGACTGTCTGGCTGAACACTTGCACCGCATCAGTATTCTAAATTCACCTGACTGTCCGCTCTGCAACTTGGCAGAGCCCATGAATAGGATCCACCTCCGCCGCTGTGCTGCATTGCATTCCGGCTCTGAATCGTCGCTTTATTGACAAACCAGAGAACTTCTAGGGCAATGACTTCGGTCATTCTGTTTAGTTTATTTATTCACCTGTTTTGTCTTTGCATTTGTTTTCTGTGTTATTTCTTGTTTATGCCCTGCCACTGAAAATAAAGAAAAAAAAAGCAGACAAGACCTAAATCGGAAGTTACAATCGAGTATTGGACTGACATAATGAATAAATATTTATAATGCGAAACAAAGATATTATATTAGGTGTATCGACTAGATTTTACAAATAAGATGCAGATTACACAATATGAAGTATTCCAGACTCATTGTAATTAAGTAACCCTTGCAATGTGTTGTCAATATTTTTCAAAAGAAAAAAAATGTTTAAAAAGTTATGTAAGTATAGTAATTTTGACTAAAAAACTTTTGCTAAAGGTAACGAAACGATCGATAACCAAGATAAAAAAAAATTAATCAACTGTACTTGAAAAAAAGATATTCAAAGGAAGGAAGGAAGACACTAAGAAGAAATAAATAGGAAGTAATTTTACTTAACAGTTATATAAAATGCACATCATTATAATGGTTCAAATCGGAAGCAGCCCTCCTTTATATTTTTAAACATTTCATTAGAAATGAAAAGATTTTTGTTTGACGATTTTTAGTCTCTTTCTTATTCACCTTATTTTATTTATTTATTTTTCCTAAACTCTTGATATCAAGTCGAGCACGAGATAATGAAGATCTCGAGAATGAAGATGATCTAAAAGGAAGATCTCGAGAAAGACAAATTTTCTCAGAAGAATAGAATAGTCGAGTGAAATTCATCAATGAAACTGGCACTTTCAGCCCAGCAAATATTTCAACTTTTTTAGTTGCATTTCAGCAAGCTATGGATCGGGCTGTATGGTATTTTTGTTCTACAGGTTTAACAATTGATAATTTTTGAACTAATAATCGAATGTTAAATTTATTTGTTCCATTACACTTCCCGTTCTTTTTTCTACGTACCAGCGTCATTTCAAGTTTCTAAATCTTTAATTTTTTGCAATGCAAAACTAAAAATATAAAGCTGAACACCCAAAACTGCGAAGGCACTCACGATTTTTTAATCTAGAGAAACTCCGCCATTATTGTTTAACATTCTTAATCATTGTTTCCCTCTGAAATGTTGAAATTTTTCACGAAAAAAAGATACATTTTTATTAAGTATAATTACCAAGCGAAGAACTTTCATTTAACAGAACTTTCCTCTTTTGCTTAAAATTCGAACTTTAAAAAGTTCATAGATCATGCGCGCTATTTTAACGTCATTTTTAATTCAATTATGGAGACAAGTATTAAGAGAAAATTCGTGATTTATTAAACAAATTCCAAGGAGTAACAAATCAAGAAACCCTTTTTCAATGGAACCTTCGACTTTACTACTCACACAATTCCAATTATTGTTAGCAGTTTATTATGCACAATTATCTCTTTAGTTTTTTTAAACAAAATGTTCATACTCGAATGCCTCTCATCTACAATCATTTCAATCGCTTTTCAATAAATTCTTTGGATCCTATATAAATCATTTTTTGTTGATTAAATGAGTTGAAAAATATCGAGTGTAGTAAGCCTTGATGATTTTAAGGAAACCTATTCTTTGTTTTTCGTTCAAAAATAGAATAAAATAAAAAAATCTAGCAATAAATAAATTTTCATCTTGCAACAAAGAATATAGGTCATTGTTCAAAAAAAAAAGTGAGAAAATATTCTCGAAAAATATATTTAAAGTGGCAAAAACTTTTGGACAAATTGAAATTTTGAAAATAAAAAATTAACACATAAAAATTGTCACGTCAAAATTTTAACTTTTTTTTTATGTGCTGCAGAGCGACCCTCGAGAAATATTTTATTATACGTGCAACAGTCGAGCTAATTATCGAACGTTAAAATTTCTTTGAATATTTTTGAGTATATCTTCGAATTTTAATTTTTTCTTAAAGTTTTATAGTTTCTGTGGAGAAATATAAAATTTAACATAAATTGATCACCCAAAATAGTGACGATGACTCCCATGATTATTTTATTATTATAGAGAGATAATTTCACTTAAAAGTTATTCCTTTCTTTCTCTGAAAAAACTTTCACGAGTTTGTAAAATTTCACATTTTAGTAGAGCTATTAGTTCGCATACATTGATTGTTCTTCCTACAGATTTTCCGAAATCAGTGAAGAAGCTGATGAAGAATCCGATATTGGTGTGTCACGTGATCAGCATCACTTTCCAAGTGAATGGATTTGCTGGCTATTTCGTCTTCATGCCGAAGTTCATGGAATCTCAATATCATCAATCCGCTTCAGATGCCAGTCTATTCTCTGGTAAGTATACAACAAAACACTCATTTTATTAGAATCTGTGGTCCAATCCAAATACAGAATCCAAATATTACGAAAAAGCACAAATGAACCCACATTTTGGTAAAAAAAACCCTGAATGTTTTAATTTTAAATTTACATTTTGTGTTTCATGATGTAGATTTAAAGTATGCTCACCATAATTTAAAAAGTGCAGTCAACATATGGACTATAACTATTTTTTTTTGGGGGGGGGGCATCTTTTAGGTCGTGGCTTCCCTCCCTCCAAAAAACTAATTCGCCTAACCAAAGTTCATTTGTTTGTGTATATAATTTCATTATTCACATAAAAGTTTTACCTAAGATTTACTCTAACTGGTAATATCCTTAAAGTGTACCGTTTTAATCCAATTGCTTGACAATATGAATCTATGTTTACACGAGCAAACTAAATAATTAAAAATATATATACAGGGTGTTCCAAAATTATCTTTACAACTTCAAAAATTTATAACTTCGAACAGAAACAAGATATTTATATTTTGTCTTTTGCATGTATTACTGCAACTAATAAAGTTTTTTTTTCAATAGGCTGAAAAGTTATACACCACAACAGTCACCACAACAATAGGCGGACACCACAACAGAAAGCTCAATGCGTCTCATGGCCGTATTCGCTCCACATTTTCTGGACTTGTGCTGGGTCGTCCGGCTCCACTTTTATGCAATACTGATCCGGTGCTCATGAAGCTTGTGTGCCATGCACGGATGGAGGGTCTGGATGGTGGGTCTCTTTGGAAATTTGTCCTGAAGTTCCGTTGAACCTGTGTATCTGATTTCGTCTCTATGAACAATGAGACGCATTGAGCTTTCTGTTGTGTTGTCCACATCCTCACTTATAACTTTTCAGCCTATTGAAAAAAAAACTTTATTAGTTGCAGTAATACATGCAAAAGACAGAATATAAATATCTTGTTTGTGTTCGAAGTTATGAATTTTTGAAGTTGTAAAGATAATTTTGGAACACCCTGTATATATATATGTATACAAATTCAACTTCTTTAAGAAAGGCAGGCGCAGGGATGCCAGCTTCCTCCACTTTCTGCAAAAGTTTTAATAAATTGGTAGGAAATTAAATAGTAAAACTTGTACAAAAGCGTCACCACGAAATGATTGCAATGAAGTTGCATCTCATATGATACTTTTAATTTTTGGATGTGCAGTCGCGGAACTCAAAATGAAAAAGTAAAAAATCACTTAAACTAGAATATACTTTTTTACACAAAGCGGAATCAAGTTAGTATCCCTGGAAGGTGCATTGATTGAATTATTACTTTTCTTCAACCAAAACTGGCTGATTAAATTTGCTGTTATTTATCACCAGGCATTATTTTGCGTCTCCAGTGCGCTGTCTCTCACCAAATCCCGATGATTACTTCGCAATAATTGCTGTTTCTTGGCATGAAACAGTTCAACTAAAAATATATGTACTAATAATAGCACTTGTATCTCCGCTTCCAAATATATCCCATATGATACTAATAAGATCTATAAGTGAACATAAATCATTTTCCAAGTAATCAGTTTTTGAAATAACATTTAAAATGAAAAGTATATTTTTATAATAAATTGGGTCAGTTCACAACTGTAATTTAATGTTTTTGTTTACCAAACAGACGGATGTATATTTTGAATGTAATTTTTGCATTCCTCACTTTGTGCATGAAGCTGAAAGTTAAGTTCTAAAATCATTTAAAGATTCTCTTTAATAGTCATTCATAGTAATGGAATTTGCACCAAAAAATAATAATCGTAAAATGGTTAGGAAATCAGACACCTATTTGAATAATTTTATCTTAAAATGTAACGTAGAATTACATTATTCTAATAATAATATTAATAAAAACACTCCTCCTAAACTCTTAATTTAGAAATCAAACAAATTAAAAAACGCAATAATAGAAGTACAGGTAATTTTAACTTTTAAATTAGGAAAAGAAAAATATTGATGGGATAACAATATCCTTATGACTTAGTATTTCAATTTTATGCTGATGACGTACAACCCATGTGAAAATTAATGTGAAAAAACTGGATCCTGCCATGTGATTTTCTAGCCAATGAAAACGTATTGACAACAATGGAAAACTGGAACACCATCATTTGATTTTAATATATAGTAAGAAATACTGCTAGGGTTATTATGTTAGTGTAGTTAGAATATAGCCTTCCTAAAAGAATGTTTTTTTTTACAAATATTTCGCAGATCAAAGTTTGTTATCACCAAAATTATCTTTTTTTTTTCTTTTTCGTTCTTTCTCTAATAATGACTGAATATTCACAAAAACGTGCAATGCGCAGGGAAAGGGAAGCTGCTGTCAGAGTAAATGAATGTAGATAGTTATATGATTAAGGTTTGAAATAAATTTTTACATCTTGATACTTCAAGATAATTAAATGTAATGCTGCCTAAACTTGCATAACTAAATCAACCCCGAATACAGCTGTCAAAAATGCATGTCTGATATAACAAAAGTTTATTAGTGACAGCCATAGAAAATCACGTCACTAACATAATTTGAAGAAGAAAATATATCTGTTGCCATCTAAAATTAATTTTAGTGGAGAAATATACCACTCCAACAGGAGAAGGTCTGTAATTGTAGTGAAAATGTTGATTTTTTGAAGGTGCCACTGGAATCATTTCCATGCTGCTGGGTATTCTGATCGGTGGCTTCCTGATCAAGAAATATAAGCCACGCCCTAAGTATCTCACTGGATATATGGTTTTAGTGGAAGTATTTTCAGTCATTGGACTTCTTGTGTCCATATTCCTTGGGTGCTCACAGATTCAAATGCCCGGAACAACTCTTAATCCAGACAAGTAAGTTAAAAATGAAATATTTATTTTTGTAAAAACAATATTTTCTAATCACTTCTACAGACTCAATAAAACAAATTTCAGGTTTTCAGTTTTATTTGCGGTTTATTAAGATGTGCACTTCATGACTGCCTAAAAGTTTTATAAAATTACTTACATCAAATTTTGTTTTAATTTAGAATTTTGAGGAAATCATTTTATTTTTAAATGTCGTCATTCGAAAATTTTAAATTCTTTTTAAAATCATTGTTAGATGTCTTTAAACAAAAATCAAGCAATTATAAAAATTATATGATTTTAAAACTTCATATCTGTTATTTGATATTTTAAAGTTGCTTTTTAAAGACTCTTTAATCACACGACTTTTTATTTTGCGAATAATTGCCATCTTCGTAACTGCCCTGAATTTGCAGCAGTTATTCATGACTGTCGGGTCACCTATCTTTAGCCTCTTTACTAATTCCGAAAATGGCGCAAAACGTCAATGTGGAGAAAATGTATAGTTTTGATTTTATTATTATTATTATTTTTTTAATATTTAGAAAGTTCCTCTAATGGGGCCTTTTTTGGGTTCATAAAAATTTGAAAAAATTGAGAAATATTTATTGATTTTGATAATTTTTACATAGGAAAAAAAATCTTTCTAAAATAGGCAATTTTTAAAAAGTTTAATACTTTTTCAAATACCTATTTAAGTTTTTTTTTATCCATTCTTAAGCCGAGGTAATTCTTCACAGCAAGGAACTTAAACTTCAGCTTATTTTCCTTTGGTCAACGCTGTTAACCAGTGTTAAAAACATGTTCTGATTTTGAAAATCCCGAACTTTCAGAGAGTATAATTTTTCTCTTTTTTCTGCAGGTCTCTCTCCCTGTACAATGAATGCAATGCAGGATGCAGTTGTACTCGAAGGGTATTTGAGCCAGTTTGTGGTTCAGATGGAGTGTCCACTTTCTTCTCTCCCTGCTTTGCCGGATGTCCGAACACCACAGGACTCAATTTCCCACCTGTTACTGCCGTCCCCACCACAGCCATGAACACTACAGTACTTTCATATTTATTTCTAATTTTATTATTATTAAGTGGTCAAGAACAAAGTTGACTGAGAGACACATTCATAAGTGGGGGCTGTTAACCCCTTAACTGCCGAGTAAAATTAACGTGATTCACTCCCCAGTGCCACCGTTTTTCGCTCAAGTGCACTTTCTTACACGGTGTTTTGGTGGGGAAAATGATGCACGCTTTGCAATTTAAAAACAGTTTAATTTTACAAGACAAGAAATAGGAAAGAAAGAAAATGCAAAATTTAAATTAAATAATAAAAATACAATATAAAAGATGTTAAAACTTAGCTGTTGTATGATAAATTCTGAAACATGGTTGGACACATAAACCAACATCACATTCATCGCACTGATAGCGGGATTCACGACGAATTTTTTTCTTGAACAAACAGCACATTTTCACGATGCATTTTTCTTTGAAGACGTTGATGGAAAGAATAAAAAGCACCAAATACATACGGGAAACAAAAGCGAAAAAAGAATAAACCCGACCTTACTCAAATAAATACACACAAGCGATTAATACGATATCACTTTTCCATAACATCCTTTTCCCATTCTCCCTCCTCCGAAATTAGTAATACATTCGCAAAGCAAACACTTTCAAGGCCATTTTACTGCATTCTGAAGTAGGGGGTGTAGTTCTATTTATAGCAGCGCAGTGCAAAGCATCGTACTTCGGGAAAGCGTATATATACGCCTGCGGCAGTTAACGCATCGTCCGGCCGAGACGTATATATACGCCCGCGCCAGTTAAGGGGTTTTAAGGGCAAAAGCGAGAGAGAATCAGTGAATTCATGAAATCATAATGGATTGCCGGAGAACCAAACACTGTCCATCAGCTTTTCTTGTGCGTGTGTGAATGTTACACTTTGGAGTGTATTTTTGGTGATTTATTCGAGTTGTTCAACCAAATCGACACCAAAGCCAACTAACACTAAAAGTCAAATACGATATTAGTGTTGAGCGTTATCAGCGATGCCATAGTTTCCTTTATAGAGCTTATATTTCTTAATTTCTGAACGCTATGTTTTCAATAAAATGAACAGTTAAAAATGCTTTTTAAATTTTTCAGAGTTTACAGTGATATAGTCCAAAGCCCATATAGTCCATATTCATCCCCTTTACATAAGATCCCTGTCCTATATTCAGATGTAACGTATAGATTTTCAAATAAGGAAGAAAAAGCGGTAAAATATGAAATCAACAAAGAGTTTTAGCACAGCGTTTGTCTTTTGTTAGTCAAAACTATTTTATTTCCTACCCCTTAGGAGCATGGTGATGCGTAAGGAAATTTTCGAGCTAGCACTCCGTTAACGTTAGAGGGTACCTTCTGCAAAATTAATCTCACGAATAATCAGCTGTGACGCATCCTTCCGCCGTCGAGGCTTTATTTTGGAGATCTTTTATGAGACCTTATTTGCTCTTCCGTCCAATGCATTTTAAATACGAACAGCAGAAATAATACTCTTTGTTGAATTTTTACGAATAAATGGTTGTTGGATTTACCATCGAAACAGGCCCTCACATAATCAGAATTTAAGAAATATAACGCATTTTAGATTTATTATTTTTTCACTTTTAAAATATACCGATACTTTTGCCACATTTTGAAATCATACAGCTTTGCATAATGTGCTTTTCTGCTTTTAAACATTTAATAAGAACCTTTTTTACGTAATTTACCTAGAATTTTACAACAGTATTTGGATTGGTTTTCATTTTTTTTAACAATAACATAAGTAAATCGGAAAAATTTCAAAAATGGAGCAATTAAGCTACCTATCTTAAAATTAATAACTACGCAATTTCATTGCACTAAATGAATTGAGGACGATGTTTGAGAAATGAAGAAGTTTTGAAAGTGTTATTTTCCTGATCAAATAAAGCGAGTCTTTTAGTTGTGGAACTTTTAAAAGGTGTAAAATAAATTATTGTTAAAAAAAAAAAAGAATGAGTACAAAGTTTGTTTGAAACAAAAAAGCATCGAGCAAACGGAAATCAAACATTTCAACTAAAATCAGAAATCACAAGAGCTTTTAAGGTATTTCTTAAAAATCAACTGGGGACGAAAGAACTAACTTTCTAAACTTAAAGTAAAATTTTAATTTAATACAGTATAAACTTTTTTGATGAAATTAATCGACTCTAAAAAAAAACAAGTAAATACTTTAATATATTTATTTAAAAATATATTTAATTTTTTTTAGAAATTCTGGAATTTGCTAGCATTTTTTCACTTCAAAAAATTGAGTACATACAAAGAAAAATTAAATACTTTTTATTTTAGATATCTTTTAAGTGTTTCTTCCCCTTGAAATGTTTTGCTTTTTTCATTATTAGCATAGAAAGCTCAAAATAGGAGGAGTTTGACTAAGCTTAATCTAATGGTTATGAATAACTCATAAAAATTATAAAATTTCCATGCTATTCTTTAAAAAGTTAGTTTGGCGAAAGAGCTTTAAGAATGCAGATTTAAAATTTTACTGGTAGATATGAGATAAAGTAGATCCTTCTCATTTATAACGGTTTTACCGAAATTTTTCTCCAATCTACAAATTCGCTTCAAAGAACTGAGGAAAACCGGCTATTATCATTTAGGCTAAAACAAAATATATTTTAGATATTTTGTATACAAAAAAATTATATTCATACCCGTTACACAAGACCCCTATCATATATTCATCCCCTTTTCTCATAAAATAAGTTTTGTATGAAAATAAAATAATAAAAGAAATTAATTAACACACGAACTATTAAACTATTTTATGCTTAGAACATTACATTCCTTAGACATTATTATTCCATGAGCTTCCTAAAATTGTGCGTTGCTTATTTAGTACAATAATCTATTTTATTCACTTAATTTTGAAAGGAAACGAGGGTAAATCACCATAACCATGTAAATTTGATAGACAGAAATAACTGGATATATTTTTTAAAGGCATACTGTTCATACTCTAAACTATAAATAATGTAAATTGGTAAGCATAAATCCCTCCCAAGTCTGAAAAAAATAAACAAATATAACAAATTACGTCCAAAAATGTGATGTGCTTTACAAAATCCTCTTAAATGCTTTAAAGGAATAAAAATTTATTATTCGCGAGTTAAAGTGTTTTTCGTGTTAAATTTTAATTGCAGAATTTGAAAGGAGACACTAAAACACTTATTTAAAAGAACATGATAAACGAATTAATAATTAAATTACACCTACCACCTCCTCTCCTTCCTAATTTATATTTCTTGATAAATTTATTTTGTTACTAATTTAAGCTCTCTACTTATTAAGCTGAAGCAACAAGGTTAACTAGTTGTTTATGTATAAATTAATAATATTTGATTTTGGTGTATTTCAGATATTTCACGACTGTAAATGTATAGCCAGTTTAAATAGCACACTTTCTGACTTCAACAGCACTTACACATCCTCCTTCGTAACAAGTGGATTCTGCGCAACTGGTTGTACTATGTTCATGGTCTATATCATTGTGCTGTGTGTCAGCAAATTTATCTCTTCGACAGCACGAGTTGGAAATACACTCATTACCTTCAGGTGAAATACGAAGCCTTAATAGCTTTTGATCTAATGATTGGATTTTTCACGAATTAAGATGCTGAATCAGGAGAATAATCTTAATCGTGCTAACTAATTGGCGATATTTGAAGTTACAAAACTAGGCTCAAGAACATAATCGCTCTGAATACCCTTTTTTAGACCGATCAAGATTATGGACTTTTAAAACATCCTGAAAATGATGAACAATGTAGGCAGAAGAAGAATTTAGGCCTTATAATTCCCTACTTTCACACTGAATAGCATCAAAAAGTTTTTGTTTCTCAAGAATTCCCCTTCTAAATTTCGTCATTTAAAATTACATTGTAAAAATTTATAAACCTAATAATACCAAGTTTTTCCCATTATTAAAATTAATAATAAAATATAAATAAATAATCAGCAAAAATAATATTTTACTTAGACTTATATTTAAACAAATAAACTAAATAATTGCGTGCTAAAATTACTAAATAATCAAAAATCGCTCTGGAGATATGGAAAAATTTGCAAAAAGTGAAATTTTCATGAAAGGGTGGAAACCTTCCATAGACCTCGAGCCTAAATTAATGAGACGATATTTTTCAGAATGCCACACCCCCATATTTTAGGGGTCAAGAATCCAAATCCCTCGAAAAAATATACAAATTTATTCAGAAAAAGAATTTTTTTGAGTTGCACAAATAACCCACCTTGCTTAAGGTTAGGTCCTTGAAACTTTAATATTGCATCTAAGTTCATGAAAATCCAATCCTCATATCAAAAGTTGTTAAGGTGCTGTCTTTTTATTTTATTTTGATCACTGCATTGCTTTAATACTGGAAGACTTTAAAGGAAAGGAAAGCACCATATCGAACTTTTCCAAGAAAAATTTTTTTTTGGATATGTTTTGAATGTTTATATTTTTTAAAATAACGTGTAAAAATCAATCATCCATGGAAAGCTTTTTATAGCGAAAAAAATTATTGAAGTTATAAATTCGCTAACTTTTTTTAAATTTCTAATGACAAGATGCAACAACATATTTAGTATAACAGTGCAAGGTTCAGAAGCGGAGTCATAGGCAGGGACATGAGTCTCTGGTTCGCCAATGTCGGGTTCATATCGGAGTTGTAACCACGAAGTTGAAATATGAATATGAATTTGATGAACATGCTCAACCTGGAAATCATGGTCTCTTAAGAGCTAAAAAAAGCCACTGTAACATCTGCATGTCACTCAATACTTTCGATGGGTCTTTTGTCTAATACATTGTTTTACGGTGGAATATTTGAATTTGTCAAATGTGCATCTTTTCGTGGGATGAAATCTGCTTGTTCGTTGCGAAACATGCGTCTTGCTGGGGTACATCGTATTATATTTTTCTTATTAGTCTCTGCTGTAGGCATCGGATAAGTTCTCGCTACTGTTTAAATAGGAATTTCCAGAGAGCTAATGAGCTAAATAGCTACTTTTGAATCTGATACTCAGATAATACAGTAACCAGTTTGCAGCAAAATGGCGACAGTTCATTTATGAAGTCATGTGTGGTTTTTGGGAAATCGACGAGTAGGTAAAAAAACAAAGGTTACTATTTAAGGGCATTTAATAGTTCTCAGTGACCTCACCGTGTGACGAAAATGTGACATATTCACGTCTCAACTTAGATACCGGGTGACCTTGTTGAGACGAGAATATCTCACAGTTTCGTCACACCGTTGCATTGTAGAAACGTGAATATGTCACAATTTTGACGAACACAGTGAGGTCACTGCGAAAATTAACTGTCTCATTGTGGTCCTACGTTGATATCCGGCTGAAGTCAAAATCTGGCGTCACCTAAGGCGGACATAATAAACTTTTTTGACCTAAGCATCTGTGTCGCAAAAACTACATGTGACATCACAAATGAGCATTCGAGATCGTCACATTTTTGTTGCAATCTGGGGGATGGAATTTTGGGTGATTACCGAATATTCAGTCACCCAACGTTGATTTAGTGGATGTATTTATAGAGTTCTTTTTTTTAAAAGAACTCAGCTAGTAAAATATTGCAAATTTTTATTTTATTAATTATTATTTTTTCTTAAACTTAACAAAAATAACCAGTCTTTAAATATTAAAATATTTTATCAGAAAAATCTTTGTAAGATTTATTTTAGTTCATTCTCATTAACTCATTATCTGTTATAATGTACTTCAGTTTTTCAAAATGATTTTAGAAATTATTAATTGAACAATTTTATTATTTTATTAGTAAATTAAAACATTGTGTCATTTTTATTAAAGAATCTAATTTCAATTTCAAATTTAAAATCAAAGTACATATACATTATTATATATTAAATTGTCTTTGGTCAATAAAGATATACATATTTAGCTATTTTTAATTTGTATGAGGAAACAAGTACATCTTACGGGTGTGTATCGTAACAGTTGAATGATTATTATTTTCATAACCTATGTTCAAATTGAAATCTGTCTGAAGATAATAGACCCAATATAAATATTCTCAGCTAATTTTGAGTATCAGTGAATTACTAAATTATTATTTTGTTTTACAGATGCGTGGATGCTGAAGATAAAAGTTTTGCTCTCGGTGCTTTCGGGAGTATCCTCTCCTTATTTGGTATATTCATCCATTTCTTTTTGTTCAATCATAATGAGAGATATTAATACAATGTTTAAAAAAGATATTAATCTGTTTATCTCCAAAACTTAGGATTGAATGACCCAACGTAAGTCAGAATGATTTTTAAATTGTGGGGATGTTCACACATTGTAACATCCATAAGAAAATTAGGGGACTTGTCCTTATTTTTCAATAGTTTTAATCCCTCCCACTTATTCCATTTATCGCATGCCACGCTATGTTGCACAAACATATATACTTGCAGTTTAAATAAGATAGATATTTCAAATTTCCTTTTCAAACTTTTACTGTATAACTAATGTTTGTGACTAACATTTTAACTATTATTTTTGAGCATGACAATAATGATGATTACGTGAAATAGGATAAAGGTTAGCTATAAACAAGTAATATTACAAAGGTAGTCAATTCCTACTTAAGTAATTTTATTTTAGTTACTTTTTATTAAATAATTACAGTTCTTTCTCCCAAATAAAACTAAAATAAATTAGTTAAATTTAATCAATGAATGAAGAAACGGTTTTAAAATCAAGTGTCATCCACTAAAAATTGAAAAAAGGTATTTATCGGTTATAGGAACCATGTGCTGTTTTTCAAGTTGTCGAGAGCACTGGCCCTTAAAACATATAAGTGCCAATTTTTAATATCGTGATATTTGTTAAAATATATCGATATTTAACAAATGTATCACAAAATTATTCCAATTTATGTAATTTATATAATTTTTACATGGGCCGTTGCCCAAATAAAATTTATCAACTCTCATAACAAAATCGTATTCAATACCTATGGTTGTGTATAATATTATTATTTTTTTGAAACGTTAACTTATCTATAATGATCGCGATTTTATCATATTGTATAATAATAATTATAAATGATGATCGCAATATTTTTGTATTCAATATCTATTGTAATTATTAATGATGGTGACATTGTTGCATTTGATACACATATGTGTATTATCGGTACCCGGTGACTTATGTAAGAAAGAGTTTGAGCGTTGCTCTTTCGTCTTGCCTAACTTGTCTCCAATAATGATAAATAATATGAAAAGCATAATTAATATACAATAACTAGGAGGCTTCGCCCCCTGCTCGCTGGCGCTCGCCAACCCCCGTTATGTTGCTAAGTTAACTATCAAAAAATTCCATGGCTGGCAACAGCATTTTTATTTTTTAAGTTGTTTATTTTTATTTCTTTTAGAATTCGTTTTTTTTAGCGAAATGTTTTTCAGCCTAACAGAATTCTTTGCCGACTGTTTTCTCTATAAATGAAGAAAATAAAGTAAATATTTAACTGTTGTGAAAAGAATCTTATTTAGTTGTACAAAGTACTTCAGCCAAAATTTGGGAGCCACGTAAGAGAATTATATATATTAGATCAGAAACACATCATTAAAAGGCAGAATGCTTTGGTGTTTTCAAAACAAAGCAAACGTTGCCACCGGCGGAAAAGAAATACAGCCAAAATTTGGGAGCCACGTAAGAGAATTATATATATTTGATCAGAAACACATCATTAAAAGGCAGAATGAGTATTGAGTATAGTAAAGTGCGGCGTGCTCTCTGCTTTCGCTTATAGCACTGCGTTTCAATAGGTAAGGCTTAATTTAGCCTAATAAGATTTATTTGAGGCTCTTCTTCAAATTCAACATACTTCCCCCACAAACCACGGACAGAATGCTATGGTGTTTTCAAAACGTAAACAAAACAAAACAAACGTTGACTCCGGCGGAAAAGAAATACAACCAAAATTTGGGAGCCACGTAAGAGAATTATATATATTAGATTATAAAATATAGCGATCTCATCACTCAATCAGTTAATTGCTGAGGGATCAACTGATCGCCTTCAATCATTCCGTTTTCATATGCAGCATTGGAATATATTTATGAAACAAAAAATTATTTTGCATACTAATAATGGAATGTTACAATTAAAATGATTGATTTAATCAAGTGATTTGAATCATGCCTATTTTCATTAAAATCTGCATAATAGAATGCAGAACTTATTATTTAAATTGCTAAAAAATTTAAAAGTTCAATCAGAGGAACGAGATTAAAGGTCTAGGAAAGAAGAATTTTAATTCCCCACATTTTCTTTTTTTTTTTTTTTTTAGAATTAATAAAGTAAAAACTTTTGCTTTACGTGAAGAGCCATTTTTCTGATTCCTAAGACAAATTAAAATGCATAATTTAAGATTGATCATTTGAAGAAATTAAAAATTCATTTTATGTTTCAGCTTTCATTCCCTACCCACTGATCTACGGTGCTCTGACAGATTCAGCCTGTCTTGTGTGGGAAGAGAGCTGCTCACAGACAGGCAACTGTTGGTTATACGACAGCGACAAATTTAGATACTATCTGCACGGCATGTCTATGCTGCTCATCAGTATAGGCATCTGCTTCGATATCGTGGTTTTCTTCCTGAGTGACCGACTCAAGAATTTTTACGGAGAAGAAGACGAAGAAGAGGAAAAGACATCAGTTGATAGACTTGCCAGGTGGATTAAAGAAGAAGAGGAGGAAGACATCATCTTCACGAAATGTCCAAGGACGGATCCCAATCTTGAGATGGATCCCATTATTTAAGCCTGATCCACTTTTTCGATCTGACTCTTTCAAAATATTTATTTCTTTATAGTTCGAGAACTGGACATTTTAATCATTTTTAATGCCTGGGTGTTAAACAAAAATATTGCCATTAGTTTTGTAGCTATGACAGTGGTGGGCTAACAATTAAATACCCTTAAAATCAGAGGTCTACAAATTCTGAGTGACAGATTGGACTACCTAGAAAATCATATCTGGTGCCGAAAGTTTTGTATATAAACCCTAAAAATTTGAGTATTCATGAAAAAAATATTTTTCTAAACAGAACTAAAATAAAAATTCTTTTTCAATATTGTGTAAGGTGATTTTAGCTTGTTTAATTGCTTGCGTAATTTAACTCTGCGCCCCATTTCTCACCACTTTATTTATTTTTAAATAATATGAAATAAAAAAAATTTTGCATTTTGGAGGAAAAGAAAACTTAATTTTATTTTGTTTCGAAACATAACTAAAATAGAAATAATATTTTAGCATTATATAGTTATATAATGTATTTTCAGCTATCATTATTGTCTTTGCACTAACTCTGTGCCTTAAATTTGACCTCTTTATTCTTAGAAAATGTGCAATTAAGAATACTAATTGTCTCTATGTAATTTTATAAAAGCAAAGAAGTATTTCATTTCATACAGGCTACTGGAACTTTCAAACCTTCCTTGAGCCTCGCTTAAAACCATCTTAATAGATGGCAGATTAAGTGTAAAACGGCAAGTAATTGATAATATTTGATTTTAAAAAAATTATAGCACTGTAATTACACATTCCTTACGTGATTACATGAATGAATTTGGCAAGAATTTGGAAAATACTAAAAATACGCCCTCCGAAAGAAAGCATATTTTCTGTTAACTTTTTTTGAAATGAACAATTAACTATTTAGTAGACCAACGGCAGTATTTTTTTAGCATATTATTTATATGAAATATGAAAGTATTCAACCCGCTTTGCTCTCGTTACTCTTTCTGGAGACTAGTTTTAATATGCCCACAGGAGCTGAATAACTTCGACAGAAATTTGACACAAAGTTTAAAAAAAAAAATGATTCTTAATAAGCTATCAATGGCAAAATGTATTAAATGCTCAGTTTATAATAATCTACCCTTTACAACTCTTGCAATACACAAAAGAAAAGTGTGAAGGTGGTTTCATTGTGAATTAAGAATTAACTAATTTATATGTAATAATTATTTTGTAGATACAATTGTAATAACACTCTTTTTTCTCATAATATCGTACAATATAAAATTATATCATTTTGTATTGAATATAAAAATATAAAAAGAAATTTTCAGAGAAAATGTTTTTGAAAAGTTAATATACCGTGAATTTCATGAAATTTAGTCTCTAAATGCAAATTATTATCAAAAAATTTCAAATTTGCTATTATTCATGTTATTTAATAACTTATTAAAATAAATAACAATAATTTTTTAGCAAATTAGCAATTTTTTAAGTAATAGTTCAAAAGTAATTCATTTCAATTCGCAACGAATGCATTTTAAGTGTTTAAACACGAACTATAGAGTATGAAATCATTTTTTTTAAGTGTAGCTTGAATTTTATTTTTTACTCTACGGTTTTTCCTTAAACTTTTCTCTGTTTGGTTACCCCATCAGTGCTTTGAACTGTCATAAATTAACACCAAAGATTAAGATTTTTAAGTATTCAAATAAGACGAATTTAAAAATAGAAGTTTTACACATCATGTTTCAAATGAAATTTTATAAATTGTGATAATTTATTATCGAGAAGTCTTTGTAAGTCTGGTTAAAGCCTGAGATGTATCTCTATTGAGATAATTTGGTATCTGTATTGAGATAACTTTAAAAAAAATTAATTACGTTTTGTTTATTTCATCTATAAATAAATAACTAATTTATTGAAAACATTTCAATTCATTTCATAAATTGTTATGCATCTAAATTTTTTCTTTTATTCTTAAATTAAATAAATTAAAAAAGTGAGAAAATGAAAGCTACTATTTTTCTGTAAAAAAAAAATGAAAAAAACTAGTTGCGTAAAGTTTTAGTTTCATTTATATCTTTCTTCTTGGGTATAACATGAGCAATAAAATGCATCAAAAGTTAGAGAACAAAAGGTTACATTCTCTATTAAGATTCTAATATAATAATTTTACTGACTGGTATTCCAAGTTTTTGTCTTATATCTTTTATTTATTTTTGAAAAAATAGTCTCAGAAATTTTTTTGTTTTAATCTGCATTAAGCAGAAATGCTGTGTTTGGAAAAATATTATTTCACATAAAAAACGTCAATACATGACTTGCAACGGATTTTACACAGGCTATACTGAACAACGAAGCAGATTGAATAAGCAAGTAAATAAATAAACTTGGGCTTTACTTTGAGAAAAGCTTATTAAATGCATACAAAAATTCGACTCCAAGAGAATTGTGAGCAAAAATTGTGCAGGAAGATACTCTATAAATTGGAATTCGTTACTAAAATAAGACACAAATTATGAGATTCACATATTATTGATGAGGGCGGAAAGGAACACATTTTTGAAACTGATTCTCTCAGTATTGTTTGAATTTTTTCGAACTATTTTTTGATAGTTTACTAACATTTTTCATGAGGCTTAAATGTTAAATCATTTTATATTACAATTAATGTTTGTAAGTTTTGACAACATTGTAAAAATGACTCGTGGTTGTAAAAAACTGTCGAGTTATTTGTTTGGAATACACATATTTAAATGCCTCGTTAGTATTTCTTGCTTAGCATTAAAATATTGCTCAAAAACTTTTTAAAAGAAATTCTAAGTTAAAAATTTATTATTTTCCTTATGTATTGAAATCTAAATATTCTTTCTGTTTATTAAAAAATAAATGAAAGCAAAATATTCTCAGTTAAAAATTAGTAATTTTCGAAGTGCATGTTTTTAAAATTGAAAAAAAAAGGAAGGAAAAAAACAATAGTAGGAGGGGGGGGAGGCCCTGTATCTCGATTGTTTTCCAGCGCATAGACTCTGAACTACATTTTACAAATCGAGAAAAAGGACCTACTCTATTGACGTTTTGTTGTTTATTAATTTACGGTGTCTGTAAGGATAAGTTTGTTTTACTATGACAATTCTCTAATGTTTTCGTTGTATAGCTTTATTTATGGGTCATTACATTTATAAAAAATATTTTTAGTCCAGCTTATGACACATTTACTAAAGATTCATACCCTCACAAACAATAAGGATTTAGTCTAATAATAACACTGTTCCGTTTTGTGTCGATAACTACAGCTCAAGGGGATTTGACCTCCACCCCTCCCCTTGATGTGTGTTTGATTTGGGGCCACGAAAGCTACAGTGCAGCGAAGGTTGAAGACATCCATGGCTTAACAAATGACTTTGGGGCTCTGGAATAAAATTTGTTGCGCACCCCTTACTCCAAGAACAAAACGCCTTATTTATATTTTTTGTAAAATTTTTAGCGACCTTTAATCAAAAAATTTAATTTTATACAAATTTTCCGCAATTTTCTTCGAAAGAAATTAATTACTTATCACAATATTTTTCTTAATGAGTTTTGGTCAGGATCCTCAACAGTACCGGGCCTCTCTCTCTCTCCCACCCTTGAGTCATGACTACATCAAACGTATTTCTTTAATTGTCCTATAAAATCGAAATGTCTGTTGCATTTTACACTGAAATTCTAGTATTTCTAAATTTCCCGAAGAGTGAAAATGCGTTCTCGGTCTTACCTCACTAGTGGAGTAAGACCAGATGATTTGACTTTTTCTAGAAAAAATTATTTGTAAAAAAAAAGGGATACAAAAATGACTTTTAATGAATAATGCATTGTACCTACAGAATAATGAACATCTTGATTAAATCTGACTGTTTTTAGGACGAACAGTTTAACTTAAAGAGACCTTCCAATCTTAGCTACTCGGTATTAGCACACTTTAAAATTTCAGCATTACTTGTTAAGAAATTCATATATGATGTAATCAATGTGTCGTGTCCTGTCTCAATATTTGATTTGAGGAGCAAAAAAAACATAATGAATATGTTTTAATGTAAAGTAACCTTTTTAAATAGTTGGGAAAAAATTTAAATTTTAAAACTTTATATTTTTTTATCCACTGAAAATTAATTGTCATTCACACATTTACAAAAATGAAATTAAAAATAAATTTAATTTATTTTGTTTAAAGATTTCGCGAGAAATTTCTTTGATAAATGACATTAATTTTTAATTTATGAATAGTTTTTATAGATGAATTACGCATGGTATTGAAAATTCAAACTGCATCACAACTATTTGCATTATGACCATATTTATTATCAAACTATATTACTTATATATTTTATGATCTGGAATTAATTGAATCGAATTCCGAGCTATTGAAGACGATGCCATTTGAAATACTTTTACTTTGTTTAAATTATTGATTTCTAAAATATTTTTCAAATCTGTTGAACAGGTTTATTTTTGTAATAAATTGAAGAGCTGCGTACATTTACGGTATCTTCCCCACGTGAAGAGAAATACCATTTGGTAGATGCAACATTACCCTGCAACAATGGAACTTTATAAAAAATGCTCAAAATGATTTTCATACATTTTATCTTGTTGTATTGCAATTGATACTAATAACCGGACAGCAGGAATAAAATACAATTTGTGGAAATCATTTTGAGCTTTATTTTAAAAAATACAAAAACTTTATAGAAAATTGCTCTAAGCTTTTTACGTTTTTAAAATATTTAAATAACTTTTTTTCTTTTTGTGCCAAATATGATTCAGAACAAAATTATGAAGAAAAAAAAGCATTAAAAATTTTTTCTTCGTGCAGGGGCAGTACCAAAGAACTACTTTTAATACTCAGATCTTGTGTAATTTAAAGCGAACTTTTTTTCAAATTTTAAATCAAAAATTTTTGCATTTAATTTTAATTTATAATTTAATTTGCATTCAGTTTCAAATTGCTCCGAAAATTTTGTTTTACTGAATATTTTAAAAGTTATAATTAAAAAAAAAATTTAAAATTTATATTTTTATAAATATTGAAGCTAGAATTAGAAATTTTATACAGTTGTTGCAAAAAACAATTAAAATGGTCGATATAAGTTACAAACTAATTGCTTGATTGTTAGGCATAGTGTGTTTAAGAATACTAGTTTTCTTTTTTAATTTATTGTTGGCTCTTTCAAACTTCGGAAAGCTTTAAACCTTCTTGCAAAAAATGAAAAATCACACTAGCCAAACAAATCTGAAGTTACAAAATAATTCTCTGAGTATTTCTTGAGAAGTTTAAAAATTTATCAAAAAATG